TTCGCAAGGTTTTTCATCAGAAGAGAGCCAGTTCCTGTCTAGAGGGAATGAATCATTGTTTTATTTTTACTATGATCTGGGTCCCTATCGTGCTGCAAGAAAAAGTTGGTGCGGTTCGTGCTGCAAGAAATTATTTAAAGTCTAATTGATTGTACTTTTTCGGGCAATATCGTATTCGGAGTGTGGAGGGGGAGAAGTTGATGCGGCTGTGACCATGTCTGTTCTTCGATACTCCACGGTGACTGCGGTCGTTCATATGAGCTCTGCCAATTATAAGCCTCGATGAATGCGAGAAACATAGGGGCACTGCTGTGGGCCCCACCCCCAACTATGCTGGCACCCGTAATACTTATTTTGGGGGTGAAACCGCCCCAACTTTTCTTGCAGCACGAACCGCACCAACTTTTTCTTGCAGCACGATAGGGACCCAGATCATAGTAAAAATAAAACAATGATTCATTCCCTCTAGACAGGAACTGGCTCTCTTCTGATGAAAAACCTGCGAACAGCCTTGATCCCAATGCACTATTCTGCTTTCAGACCTCGCGAAGTTGTGCCTTGCAGCGCTACCGTAACAACAGCCGATCTGAAGAAACATGAGCTTGACCACCCCCGCAGCAACATCGCTATGTTGAAGAAACGAATTAAGGCCTGTGTCCGGCATGATAACCTCCATTTCAGAATCCCTTGTAAGTACGGAATGTTTTGATTTGTTTTAAACAAATAAATTTTCTGTAATTTTTATGAACAAGGAATAAAGTTGGAGCTTCATTATGGCGTATGTCATTTGTCGCGGCCATGAACTACATCCGCAAAGCTATGAGAAAAATAAAAAAAATAAAGAAAAAGTGAAGATCATACCTTCAAAACTTTTGGATGCACTTGATCCATAGGAAGAATGCCGTTTGTTGACCGAAGCTGGCGTACTATGCATATAATCGCCATGAGCAGAAGGAGAATGCGGAAAAATTACGAGCACTCCAGAATGGCGTCTGAACAGTAATAGTAATAGTCAAACAGCAGAAATAGTGGAGAAAGGAAGCCTTCCAAGGAAAAAGAAATTCAGAAAAGTTTTTGAAAAGAAATGAGGAGAAATGTGATCAATAAATATGTGAAACGAAGACTAACTTGTTAGTCCCATTAAAATTCATGCCAGTTTGTGCGGCATCTGACATCGTCCGTCTACGAATTCTCGCCGCTCCACATGTTTCCTGTTGCATTCCTACGGGATCATCTGAAGGTGGTGGTGGTGAACAAACTGGTGGAAAACCAAGATCTGAAAAATGACTTCCACTGACTTTCACTATAAGTGTTCAAATGAATTGTACTGAATGAAGAATGACAGATGATAACACCATCTCATGATGGGAGGGGGGGGGAGGGGAGGCACATTGTACTTTCGCTAATTCCCTTTGCCCTAGCGAGTCATCACGTTAGGGCTTGTAAAATCTTGTGAAGCCATGAAGTAATACCAGTTGAAGTCTGTAGAAACCAGTTGTCAAATTTGCAAAGAATACGTTAACTCTTGAAATGCAAAGAACTCGACGGGAAGCAACGAAAGTGAAAACTACACCCCCAAACTGCCCCGAAACTCTTAGTTCTCCTCCACAATATTTCTTCCAAATAACATTTCTTAAGTTTATCTTGCCGGTTGCGACCTTGAACATATCGACAGTACTGCCCGTACCCTTCCGCGGGTCCCACCATATGGACCACGGCTCCTTTCGTATCTTCTCCGATGCACTGCCTTGAGAAAAACTTTCAAAAATTTTTGTTTCCACCCACCTTGCCAGAATCGTAATTCCAGCGGATATTCCGTTCATTCAATGGGGTTTGGAAGAGGGAATCTACGTTCAAAAAAAGCCTGTTGACTACAGACATAGAGAGGCGACAGCTGAGCGGCGCTTTTTTGTGGCCATCGTTGCAAAAAGTCCGCCAAAAACACCGACCGGTCAGAAACAGTGATTGGTCAGCAGCTGTCGCCGTCGTCGCTGTTTGAGGCAGGGGTTACCAAAAGCGCTGAAGTAATATTCGCTATAAAAGAGCTATATATCCATAACACAGTTTCGTCATGGCTTTGCTCTATCCGAACGGGATGACTGAAATGGCGATGTCAGGTCAATTCCAGTTTCCTGCAGGGTACAGCATCGCTGGGAGGAGCCTCCAGGGGAGGGCCGTATGTGGTCGCTGGGCAAGGAGTCGTATTCGGTCGATGGGGGTCGCATCTGGCTTTGACAGAAACTTTTTCCCAGCGCGTTTTATGTGCCCTTTCCCCCTAGTTGCCCCTACTTGCCAACGCTTCAGAACCAGTTCTTCGTAGGTGTTTGCTTGAAGATGTCTATCTCCCTCCCCCATCAGCAAGACTCCGAAAGAAAAAAAAGTTGAAAACTTAGTAAAGGGTATCGAAGGCATCTTGTGGGGACGCATACTGGA